GAAAGATAGGATTTCTAAACAGTTTTAGATGAAACAGAGTTCCAGAGACTTCAATATGCTTAGTGAATGCGGTAACGCTTTATTTCAGTATACTTCAGAAGCCATGTTAATTCACCGTTGCCCTTATTTGTTTTTTGTTTTTCTTCTTCCTTCCTTAGTTCTCTTTTAATATGTTTGACCATCCAATCCCACGGGTTTTCCAGAACCGCTTCTCAACTCAGTACCGTTGCTTCTCAGTATCCATGCTTGCCGGACCTAATGACAGGTCAGATGTGGAGAAAGGCGGGAAGAGTATGTGCATGTTTTATTTTGACTAATAAACTGTTGAAGGCTATTTGTGAATAATATCAAGTAATACTGCTTTTGGCCAAGACTGTAGAAACATTGAACAGTACGGAGACATGCTGTTCAGTGTGTGGCATGAGCAAGAAGATCACTGTGGGGGCTTATAAGAAGGGAGGAGGAGAGTTTTCCTTTTATTGCATTATTCTCTAATTTAAAAATTTAGTAACGAGTGAGTCCTGATCATTACAGGAAGCCTCCCTTTTTTTTTTTCCCCTTTCTGAAGTCCCTTATTAAAATCTTATCACTGGTATGAGCCATAGCCAATGCTGTGTTGTTTTGAGTTGGCATCAGTTCAAGGGGACATGTAAGCCCCCAAAAGTACCTTTAGGAAGCATTTCCTTTAGTACTAGGTATTGTAAGATCTTGTCTTATCTAATTTCTAATTAAAATCTAAAATTCCTGTGTTAGCAGGTGTACTTGTTGTGACTGATTCTACTGGAATCTCTAGCTTAGATATTAACTTACGTGAGATTTTAGAGTAAATATTATCCTACAGGAAAGAATGATAAAACTGTATATTATGTTATCTTTGTGCAGCCATACTTTTCCGAATCTTACTTTAACTCTCTTATTAATTTCTGCAGTAATTATGCCACCGTCTGCTTTGGATCAACTCAGTAAGTGCAAGCATTATTTTGGAATAAGAATTAGAAATACAAACATAGGCATAAGCAAGTATCGGAGTTTTTAAATTATCTCTCAAAATCTGACTTAAATAGAAAGCATGAGACCAAGTTTTTCAAAAGATGTATTTTTGGGGGTATTTTGTTTCTCAGAGTTAAGGGATTTTGTCTGTCTTTAAGTACAGACATCTGAAGTGTCAAGCTACCTGATACATGAATTAATGCTTATTAATTATTAATAACATTCACAGTGTAATGGTTGCAGTTAATCCAGTGAGTTCTTAATACCAACCTACTTGTTATGAACACTTTTATGAAGAAAATTTTATTTTAAAGACAGAATAAATGAAAATCAACTTTGAAATTGGGGAGATAGTTGCATTAATAGTTTAAATGGTGTTTATTGCCCCTTTTAACACCATTTTTTCTTCCTTCTGAGTGTTGTCTTTATTAGAATTTCTTTCAGAAACAAATTAAGTCAGGATTTATTTTTAAAATAGGCAAGGGATGTAAGAATTCTTTTGGAGCTAATTGTTAAGTGCCAAAGGGCATAACAATAATTTTTGGGTTTTTTTGCTAATACTCATTGCCTGGTCATCTCCAAGCTTGGGGAAATGCTGGGGAGGCATTTAAAGCTCTAAGTGTAATGGCAATACAGTACTCGTGTATCTGCTTTCTCTCCTGGATTTGTATTTTGGGGGACTTGGATTAAGGGGAGAGGGAATCTTCTCCTATATGCTATTCTCTTGCTAATGTTCAGTCTCTGAAAGCTTTGTAAATGTGCTAGTGTCTTTATAAATAAAATCCTTTTTCCTTCTCTCTCACCAGGCCGACTTAATATTACTTACCCAATGTTGTTTAAGCTGACCAATAAAAATTCAGACCGAATGACGCACTGTGGAGTGCTTGAATTTGTGGCTGATGAGGGCATATGTTACCTTCCACACTGGGTGAGTTGTCTCTTGCTGAACTGTCAGAACCTGATGGGGAGGATTAATGAGTTGCCAGTTAAATATTAAAGAGGCACAATGTTTGCTGAAATTGCATATCTTTGCTAGACATGTTTCTACAGCTGCTTTCAGGTAAAGCTCAGGTTTCCCTTTGTATGACTTTAACTAAGTATGCAAAGCAGACTGCTTTTTAAGATGTACCTGACTGTTGTCTTCCTGAAATTAAAACACAAGTAAACTGGTGGATTTCAGGTAAGATGGTGGCCCAAATGTATATAGGTATATTCAAGTGAAAAAAATAAAAAAAAAAAAAACCTGTTGATATTGATTTGCATCTTTGTCTTCATTCTTCCAGATGATGCAGAACTTGCTGCTGGAGGAAGGAGGCCTGGTACAAGTGGAGAGTGTTAATCTTCAAGTTGCTACTTATTCAAAATTTCAGCCACAGAGTCCAGATTTTCTTGATATCACCAATCCCAAAGCTGTGTATCCTTCTTATTCAGCTATGGAGCAGGGAACAAAAGATTTCTCCCAAACTGGGATGATGAAGCAGGGTCAGCTTTTCAGGTGTTGTTCATACTTTTCCAGAAGGAGGTAACTACTATTGCTCCTTCTGAAGACAAAAAGGAGGGAGGGCTTATGTACAGAGAAGTTGCAAGCTGCTAGCACAAAGCGTAGTCTAGAGTGAGAAAGCATGCATCTTGGCTTAAAGTGCAGTAAGTTTGAGTGTCCTTTGGAATATCTACAGAGGATGTTGTATTCCTTAATATTTACTAAAAGGCTGTCCATGGTACTGATGACTTTTAAACCATCTTTGAGAGATCAAGGACCACAGTTCTATATCTTAGTAACTTTAAAGCTTTGATGTTGCATTGAATACAAATGTGTTTCGTCTTAACATACTCCAAAGATTAGAAAATGCGTTGAGAAACTTTGCTTGTCTAACTACTGGGGATGTTATTGCCATCAACTATAATGAAAAGGTACAGTATACATTATGTATACAGGTTTAATCTGGATGCCATGAATCTGAGGAAAGAAATTTTGCTCTGTGTTTTAAAAAAAAAAAAAAACCTACATTTCAGTGTATCACGACAACTTACGTACTTTGACTACACCTTGTGAATAGGTTTGATAGATGGGGATTAGTGGATGAAGCTTTTGGCAGCCCATGTTCACGTTTGATCCTTTCGAGTTGTGGACTAAGCACAATTGTTGGATGTTGCTGCAAAAACAATCAACATGGAGCTGTGCAATATTGTTGACATGTAAATCCCAGATGGTAGATTTCGCAATCAGTTTTCTATTGAAAAATAGGGTCAATTAAATCCTCCTCTGAGCTTCTATTTAGACTGGTCTTTGAGTCAACAGAGAAAACATAATTTGATGCTGTTGAAGTTCTTACAAATCGTGGGACAGAAATTATCCTGAATCCATAATTTGCTTTCAGAAATGCAGGTTGACAATAAGAGGTAGGTTTCTTAGCTCCAGGATATAGCAGTCTTATGTCTAGGTTAATTCCTTTGTTCTCGTATTTTATAAATACCCTGCAGTATCCAGTCCTCAACGTAAAGAGCATGTATTTCAATTTACTTCGAACTTTCTGAAGGGAAGGTTTAGCTATGCTTTTCTCATACCGAAATTGTGCTCCTTCATCTATAATCTTAAAATAATCATTACTGTTTCAGATCTATGAGCTCCGAGTAATGGAGACCAAACCTGATAAGGCTGTGTCCATCATAGAATGTGATATGAATGTAAGTTAAGGCCGTTGTGGAAAGTCTGTTTTTACTGAGCCCCCCTAAAAGGAGAAGGTTGCATGTTGATAGCACTGAATACCAAGCACCTCTGATGCGGTGGGAAAGATAAAATCAGATGAGGTGGGGAAAGTGAGTCGTACAAGAGTATCCGGTGTACCTCTGTAACCACACCTGTGGTCTTGAGCTGCACTTTACTTCTTATGCCTTCAGGTGACTGCAGTGCCTAGAATCTCATATGTAGATTCGCCATACTGTCTTACAGTCTGGAGAGTCTTATTTAGTAGCCTTGTCTTGACTTTAAGTCTCCAATTGCATTGTGGGGTGCTGTTCTCCTGGTCCATTTCAAGTACCATGCTGAGACTCATCCCTAGTCTTCTCTTAGTCTTAGTCGCTTAGTCTTCTCTTTTTCTGAATAAAAGAGTTTAACAAACCTCAGTTCTTTCTAGTTTAAAACGGAACAGTAGTTTGTGGAGATCTGAGGAACAGAGATATAAAGCTTATGATTAAAAGGAAAATGTCAATCATGCTTATTTTCCTATGTGTATATAGGTGGATTTTGACGCTCCTTTGGGATACAAAGAACCAGAAAGAAGTGCACAACATGAAGAGACCGCAGTAAGTGAAACTTTTGTTCCTCAAAATGCATTTTCACCGGTTATCTGCCTTGATTATAGGAGACGGCTGTTCAGAACAATCCGTTTCCAAAACGAACAGTGGGTTTAAAGCCTTGCTAAATTTTCGTCTGGTCAGAAATATATGGAACTGGTTTTGTAGCGCAATATGCATATATTGAAGTAACTTGTTTTTTTTCCTCACAGGATGTTGAAGCAGATCACAGTGGATATGTGAGCGACCTAGGATTTCGTGTAAGTCCTCTATTTCTGCTGTTTTCTGAATGTTGTAAATGGTGAGGGAAAGCAAAATCCTGTTCCAAACAACTGCAAAATACCAGTACCTCCTCTTAGAGGTGTTCTTCATTACCTGGTAAGTGCTTCCCACTTAGGAATCCCAGCAGCTGGAACTCCTACAACCTGCTTTTCAGAAAGTAGGTCAACTTTGTTGATGGTTTGTGGTGCTCGTGGCCTGTAACTGTATTACTTGTTGGGCTTAAAAGGCCTATCTTTAAACAGGAGACTGAAACACACTCCTACACCTGGGGAGTATCAGCTTATTATATGTTCTAAAAATAAACATACTGAGTCAAAGAATTAAATAAAAATAATGGTAAAATTTTTAGGGACTATAGTATTCCAGTGCAGTATGCTTTCAAATACAAGATACGGTTAAGTTAAAACTCATTGTATTTGTAATTCTGAAGTGGAATGGACAGAGATGTAACTGTATGTCTTGTATGTATGTAGGCATTCTCTGGTTCTGGGAACAGATTGGATGGCAAGAAGAAAGGTGTTGAGCCTAGTCCATCGCCAATTAAACCGGGAGACATTCGAAGGTATGTCTGTTTCATCCGGTTTTCAGCAAGTGAAGGAACAGTGTGTGGGTGGATTGTTTATACTGCAGGAGCAGGAAAAAAACAGCTAACTTTCTCAGATGTTTGCATATAAAAATACACAGTCTAACTTTCTAGACGGACCGTAACCTCCCTGACTACTTAAGGTGCAGATCCCAACTTAATAAACGCTGCCAAAACTCTTAGCTCTTGCTCTGTAGAAGACAAGGAGGCAGAGGCAGCAGGTCTAGCCTGGGGCTGATGAGCTGGATCCAGTGAGGCACAGAACCCTGCCACTTTTCTAAAATGAAATTGGCCTAGAGTGAGATCTTTTTTGAGTTGGGCAGATAGCCAGAGGCAGGCCATGTTATTCCCCCCCCTTCCCCCCCAAGAAGCAAATGTCTAGATTCAGACTTAAGAGAAGTGATCTTGTGGAAGTAGTGAGGGGATGTGGTTCCTGTGTTTTTCATTTTTTTGTGTCTCAGTAACAGGCCCTGTGGAAACATGCCCGCAGCCAAGCTTGTGCATCGCCTTCCGTATCTGATTATTTTCTTCATGCAATGTATGGCTACCTTCAGGAAATAATTCCGTAGTTTAGGGTTATTTCGTAATGAAAATTTTGCAGCAAGCATTGGTATAGCTTTGAAAAGCATAGAAGAGGTCTCACTGTCATCTAGTGGATGTTTCATTGTATAAAATGTCTTCTTTATTATAATATTTTCATGCTTCTTTTCCAGAGGAATACCCAACTATGACTTCAAGATTGGTAGAATCACATTCATTAGAAACTCACGTCCACTAGTTAAGAAAGTTGAAGAGGTACATAAAGTTTGCCCTTGATAATCTTACACAGAGCATGTGACAGATCAAACATCTGCCTCCAAAGCAGCCTGCATTGCTTGCCAATTCTGGCAGACCTGTTTGGAGTAGTTCACTTTTCTTATTTGATGATGTATATCTATGAGCAGAACAATTGAGACGATACAGCCAAGAGAAAGAGTAACTGAGAAGTGAACTGAATTCACGAGTCCTGTCCCAGTTGTATGTTCCCATATTTGCACTGCCTTGTTTTGCTCATTCCTCTAGTTATGCTGGGTCATTGAGTTGTTTTGTTTAGTCTGGATCAGTTCCCTTATCTGCTTCACCATATGGCCTCGCCAGCCGATGGCTGTAATAGTGACTTTAGTTAATTTTCAGGCAACCCATAGAGGTAGTCTGGGATTGGGAAAACATTGCCCTATGTAAAGCAGTAACCTCTTATTTGGCAATAATTATTTCTTGCTGAAGGACTGTGGAACCATTGTCAAGAGTTTGTGGTTCCTCTCTCCATACATGACTTTCCACAGAGAACTGCTGTTAAAAAATACTATTAGTAAGTTTCATTTAGATGACAGCAAGCTCTCATGTCCTTGCTGATGGAAGATTAGCCTTATGTAAGTTTAATAAGCCAGTGCATGCTTGTACCAAGTTGGTGAAAGGTCACTGAAATGCTCATACTTTGTTGAAGGAAGAAAGTGGTTATTATGCAGATAAGGATGTGGAATGTTTGCAGTCTGTTGCTGCTCTGATGGGATGCTCCTTCCGGTGATTGTTCAGCTTGTATCACACAAGCCGTGAGCAAAGAGAACATAAACAGGTAACAACCTTTTCTCCTTCCTTTATTCAGGATGAATCTGGAAGCCGATTTATTGCCTTTTCAGGAGAAGGCCAATCCCTGCGCAAAAAGGGAAGAAAACCATAAGTTGTGGAACTTTCAGTCAGTTAGGAGGAAAATAAAATAACAATTGCAGCATATGGGATCTTAGTTATTGCAGAGGAGAGGAGAGACCGTTTTGCAACACAGGAACACTTTTAGTGATTTTGGTTTCATGTTTAAAAATGGAGCTTAACGTTGTCTTAATTTTCAGCTGAAAATTAAGTTCTAGGAGTTTTGAAGCAGTGGTTTTTTGTGTGTTGTAAAGATGGAAAGTTTATCTTGGGCAAACCTGGGAAGCAAAATCAACGAGTTCTACCTTGCTGAAAGGTCCAGTCCTTAGACTACAGCCTACCCTCTTTTATATCCTCTGAGGGATGATGGTCTCATGTTGTTTTGTGCTTGATACTTCCTTCTCTATATATATCCTGCCACAATTTCCGATAAGCTTTTTGGTGTGGGGCAAACGAAGGCTAACGCTTAGGTGTTGGAAGACCTTTGTGGAGGGAATCTCTTTGATCTTAGCTTCAGGTGCTGGGTTACAAACCTGAGGCATCCCAGGCTCTGACACAGACCTCCCCACACCCCAGTTGCTTTTTATATTTAGAATTAATAACATGCCTTTTTAATAGTTCAGATACAGTAACATATTGTAGCAGTCTAACAGTGCACCCTTCGCGGTGCCTGTAGTGGGTTGAGTGGTCTCACGTCCGGCTCGTGGTCACCCTAAGGTGGTGGCCCTAATACGCGCTCCCCGGAAAGGAGCGGGCTGTGGTCTGTTCAGCCGGGGGGCCGTGGGCGCCGTGTTAAGTAAGTGCATTGCGTCAAGCGCGGAGTAAAGGTCCTGAACAAGCGAGGTGGTTTGTGCTGGTTCCTGCCCTGCGCCCTGGCCGCCCTGAGGCCCCCGGCGCCGGCGGAAGCTCGGGCCTTGCGTCACCGACACGCAGCAGCGCGTCACGCGCAGGGTTCC